TTGTTCTTTTGAGTTCCATGTCCTGCATTGTCTCTAGGGGGTTCTCATTGTGTTCCTCTAGAGGATTACTGGTATTTGGTGGGAATATGTTATTTTGGTTTTTCATGTTATTATTTTTTCTCTGTGATTTTGACATTTGAATTTCTTTTGTAGTTTTTGATTCTTATATGAGACTCAAGCCTTCAAGTTTAGGTCTGCTTCTATTTGTAAACTTTGTGTGCCTTTGTGGTTTACTTTTGGGGCATGAAAAGCTGGTTCATCTAAGCTTCTGGTTCTCTCTTTTGCTTTTATATTGGAGTGGCCAGATTGCTTTTGTCTTCAGGAGTTCCCATAGAGGCCCAAGTCAGATGAGGATCAGATGCTCTCAGTCTTTCTCCTAAGGTCTGGATTCCTTCAGGAAAGATTTTGGCCTCAGTAATTTGGGAGTTGGAAAGGCCTGGGATCCGGGCCCTGAAAAGATGCTGGTCTAGGGCAGCTGGTGGCTGTGCCACCCAGTGATGCAAAGAAAGATGGGGGCGGGAGGTGGCTCCAAGGGCCCCTGGGGACTGCACTGAGGAGCTGGGTTGGTCTGGATGCAAAGAACCAGGAAGAGGAAAGGTCAGCCCCAGCATCCAGGAAAGAGGCTGGCCCAGGGTCATGCAGGGCCAGGGAAGTAGAGGGAGGTGAGGGTGGGGCCAGGCCCAGAGTGTTCCTGGGGACCCCAGAAGGAACTGAGTTGCTCTGGATGCAAAGGATCAGGAAGCAGTGGTGGTTCCCCAGATGTCTGGGGCATCAAGTCAAGGAATGGGACAGGACCCAGGCTAGGAGGAGAGATGAGTGGGGGAGATGGGAGGGTGAGTGAGGCTGGGGGAGTCACGGCAAGGAGGGCACGATTGACTTACCCTGGAGAGAGAGGCCTGTGGGTTGGATAAAGGCCTGCGGGTAGTGCAGGCCAGGGAACAAGCTTAGCATCTATTAAAACCAAGAATGGGGCTCAGTCTGTTCTGTAATTGTACCACATGCATGCTCAGTGCCTGTGGAGACCAGAAGAGGGTATTGAATCCCCTGGAACTGGAGTTAAGGACTAGTGTTAGATGCTATGTGGGTGCTAGGAACTGGACTGGGTCCTCTGGAAGAATAGCAAGTGTTACTAACTTTTGAGCCATCTTTCCAGTCCCTTATGTACATGTATCTTAAGTATATAGAGTTAAAATTACCTGAAATGTCTTCCATATTTAATTATTTATATGAATGTGTAATTAATATGTTTTAAGACTTCTGGTGAAGACAGCTTGTTTGGGGAATGCATTTTTTGCAGGATGTGATAAATCAGGGTGTTAAAGTAGTAAACACTTTCTCCCTTTTATTTATTTAATTTTTTAAAATTATTTTTTATATGTATGAGTGTTTTACCTGCATGTTTGTAAGTACCATGTACATGCAGTGCCCACATAGGCCAGAAGAGGGCGTTAGATCCCCTCGAACTGGATTTACAGACGGTTGTTAGCCCTCATGTAGGTGCTGGGAATCGAACCCAGATCCTCTGCAAGAGCAGCCAGTGCTCCTTACCACTGAACTATCTCTCCAGCTGCTACTTTCTCCCTTTTAAAGTTATCTTTTATCATGTATTTTGAAATTCTGAGGCTTCCTTAAGCAATTGATAATTATTAAATTTTCAGCTTGATGGTAAATGCATACTATGTACTGTATTTGTAATTTTGGGGTAGGTGCTTGAGAACTGACCAAACATCCATGACCTGAAATGGGAAACACTAGGCAGCATGCTGAGCTATTTTAAATATCACAGAGTTTAATTTCTGAAAAAATGTTTGATTTTTAAAATGTAATTTTTTTCCCCTTTAAGGTGGTCTCATGGATTATAACCATTTGGATATTTGGTTCATTGACAATTTTCTTACTGGCTAGAGTCCTGGGTGGAGAAGTAAGTACTTAATTTTGAAAGTACCTTTCTTTGTTTTTTAATGGTAAGCTTTATTTTTGATTCTACATGTATTGTCATTAGCTATATTTATTAAAATGGTTTATTTTTATTTTTTAAGATTCTATTTTTTATTTTTAATTATATGTATATGAAGGTGTCTGTGTATGGGTATGTACAGATGAGTTCAGGTGCCCATTGTGGCCAGAAGAGGGCATCAGATCCTTTGAAGCTGTAGGTACAGGCAGGTGCAGGGAACTGAACTTGGGTCCTCTGCAAGAGCAGTATGTACTCTTAACTGGTGAACTATCTCTGCAGTCCCATTTTTTAAAAAGAAAAATAAAATTATTTTTAAGATTGTATTTATTTTTGCTGGATGTGATGGTATATGTCTTTAATCCCAGCATTTGGGAGGCAGAGGCAAGCAGATCTTTGTGAGTTCAAGGCCAACCTGGCCTGCATAGTGAGTTCCAGGCCAGCTGGGGCTACAGGGAAACCCTGTCTCAAAAATACAAAAAGATGTTTTCGGGAAAAAACATCAATTCTCTTGATAAAATCATTCAAATGTTCTTCCTTGGGATAGCCCTTCAATCATTATTCAGCAAAATATTAGAAGACATGTACCCAAAGATTAATCTTTAATAAAATTAGTCATTTTTATTATTTATTTATTTAGAGACAGTATCACTGTGAATCCCAGGCTTGCCAGTGCTGGGATTAAAAGTATGCTACCTGGGACTGGAGAGATGGCTCAGCAGTTAAGAACACTGGTTGTTCTTGGAGAGAGCGAGAGAGAGAGAGAGGAGAAAGAGAGCGAGGGAGAGAGAATTGGAAGTGGAGCTGACCTATGAAACCTCAAGACTCATTTCCAGTGGCCCACTTTCTCGAGCAAGGCTTTCACTTCTAAAGGTTTTAGAACCTCCCCAAAACAGTGCCAACAGCTGGGAACCAAGTGTTCCCACACATAAGCTCTGGAGGACATTTCACATTCAAATCACAACAAACACCTTTTATTAAGTGCTCTGTGTGTGTCAGTTACTATAGAAAAGGCATTGATAAAGGACTTTATTTTGTCTTGTGTTTAATCTTCTGATTGTTAATCCTTAGGTCAAAGCCCTGAGGAGATTGTGCTGTTCGAATCTGTGTGTGTGTGTGTGTGTGTGTTTTGAGAAAGGGTCTCCCTGTATCCTCAGCTAGCCTGGAACTCATTATGTAAACCAGGCTGCCCCGGAACTCACAGATATCCACCTGCCTCTGCCTCTGCCTCTGCCTCCTGGGTGCTAGAAGTAAATGTATTTTACTTAGTGCACACATTTTTACTACATTCTTACCCAAATTGGCTTTTTTCCTTTGTGCGTTGTAACAAAGAGCTTAGCAATTACTGATGCAGTTTGTACCATTTCGATACATGCTGAGACAACAGTAATGTTACTGCCATTCTTTATATTTTTATTTTTATTTATATATTTATTTACTGGGTTTTTTTTTTTTTTTTTTTACTTTTTGGTCTTTTGGAGACAGGTTTGCCCTGTAGTCCCAGCTGGCCTGGAACTCACTATGTAAACCAGGCTGGCCTTACACTACAGAGGTCCATCTGCCTCTGCCTTCTGAGTGCTGGGACTAAAGGCTCATTACTGTTCTTTGTACCCTCTTATTATTAGTACCATATCAATGCAGTGGAAAAAGCAAGTGGTGTTTATTACTATTTTGAAAAATACTTTTGTCCTTACAGTCTTCCGAGTCTCTCGAATCCCCAGGGATTAATAGGCCATCGTGAGAACCACTGCTTTATTAAATATATGGGTTTATAAACTGCTACAAACCTAGGAATTCTGGGAGTTTATGCTGTGGAGATACTAAAATGGGGGCAGGGGGCTGCCAGAGTTAGATTGGTGCTGGCTTATGTTTGGCTAACTATGAATATTGAATGCCAAATGCAGAAACCTTGAAATACATAGCACATTGTTACTTCATTTGATTTTCATAACACTGAAGAACTTAATGCATAGGAGTCACTAAAAAATGGATTTCTGAGTTGGCGAGATAGCTCAGCTGGTAAAGCTTGTGCCACATAAGCTTGGATGATACACCTTTGTTCCCTGGAACCCATATGAAGGTGAGAGGAGAGAACTGATTCCACAAGGTTGTCCTCTGACTTCCACATGTGCCCCATGGGATGCTTAAAACCACTCCCCAACACACTAATAATAAATAAAACAGAATTTTTTTTAAGTTTAGATTCTGACTCCGAGTGTGGTAGTGCACACCTTTAGTCCCAGCACTAGGGAGGCAGAGACAAGTGGATCCCTGTGAGTTCAAGGCCAGCCTGGTCTACATAGTGAGTTCCTGTCTCAAAAAAGTTAGATTCTGGACTAGAAAGATGACTAGTTGAGAGTGCTTGCTGCTCTGGCAGAGGACCATAGTTCTATTCCCAGGACCCACATTGGGCAGCTCACAAACACCTGTAACGCCAGCTTAAAGGGATATGACATCTTCTGGCCTTAGCAAGCACCTGTACACATGTGCACATACAGACACCCAGAGAGACACATAAAAATAAAATTGAATTTAACACACCTTTAGTCCCAGTACTCAGGAGGCAGAGGCAGATCTCTATGAGATTCAGGCCAGCCTGGTCTATATAATGAATTCCAGCCTCCCTCCCCCAAAATAAAACACCAAAACCACCCAGATTTCACTAGGTGTGGTAGCACATGTCTTTAATCCTAGCATTCAGGAGGTAAAGCCAAGTGTAGTAGTTTTAACACACCTATAATACCAGCACTGGGGAGACATCAAGTTTGAGGCCAACCTGGGATTCATAGTGAAAATCTTTTTTTTTTTTTTTTAATTTTTATTCTATGTGTAAGTGTATTGCCTGCGTGCATGTAAGTGCACCCATGTTGTGCAATGACCACAGAGGACAGAAGAGGCCATTGGATCCCCTGGAAATGGATTAACGGATGGTTGTTAGCTGCCATGTGGGTGCTGAGATTCAAACCCAGGTCTTCTGCAAGAAAAGCCAGTGCTCTTAACCACTGAGCCATCTCTCCAACCCCATGAAATCCTGTCTTTAAAAAATAAAAAAGTTGGGCATAGTGGCTCAAACCTGAACCTGTAACCTCAATACTCAAGAGAGATTGAAGCAGGAGGAACAAAAATTAGGTCGTTACTGGCTTACTGAGTGAGTTTGAAGCCAACCTGAGCTATAGGCGACCTTGTCTCAAAAAAAACCGAAAGGTCCTCCTTTGTTTTAGAAAAATAGTAACAAAGTATAATGATGAACTGTACTGAATGTGGTTAAATATATAAACCTAGAGCTAGACATAAGTGCTGGAAATGTAGATATGAGTATCAGCAAACTGAAGCTTATTGAAAGTATGACTGTGAGCTGGGTGTGGTGGCACATGCCTTTAATCCCAGCACTTGGGAGGCAGAGGCAGGGGGATCTCTGAGTTCAAGGCTCTCCTGGTCTACACAGTGAGTTCCAGGCCAGCAGGGGCTACAGGAAGACCTTGTCTCAAAAAACCAAAAAAAAAGGAAAGTATGACTGTGAGAAGACTATATGATAATTTGAAATACATTAGGCATGATATGATACTTTTATGATTTCTTCTTAGTTCTTTTATATAAGCAAAACAGAATATATTTAATAGTGATTAAGTGTCTTGATTCCTGTGATATTTATTCAAAGTGTTTTAAATTTACAGGTTGCATATGGCCAAGTTCTTGGAGTCATAGGATACTCACTACTTCCTCTCATTGTAATAGCCCCTGTACTTCTGGTGGTTGGATCATTTGAAGTGGTATCTACACTTATAAAAGTAAGTTATACAGTATGAGTTATACACTTTACTGTTTTTCAGTAGCAAAAGTATACTAGTCCTCTAGTTAAGAATATAAGTACCTAAATCTTTATCAAATAGTGGTGTTTGGGAACAGAGACATTCTTTACAGATTTTACTGATTTGATTTCTTTTGACTTTTTTTTTCTTTAGTCCCCAGAAATTATGAAATCTGAAGGCAGGTTGAAGGGACAAAAACCAAATATATTTTCAGGAATTAAAATCTTTTTTTGAGACAGGCTCTCCTTGTTAGCCCCAGCTGGCCTGTAACTCACTATGTAGACCAGGCTGGCCTTGAACTCACAGAGAGACCTGCCTGCCTCTGCCTCCCAAATACTAGAATTAAAGGCATGTGCCACCATGACCAGCTTGTGTGTATGTAAGTGCACAGTGCCCATGGAGGACAGAAAACATTGTAGGATCCCCTGAAACTGGAGTTAAATAAACAGTTGTTAGCTGCCATGTGGATACTGGGATTTGAACCTGGGTCCTCTGCAGGAGCAGCCAGTGCTCTTAACCACTGAACAATCTCTCCAGACCCTCAATCAGAATATTTTAATATTGATATTTTCTTCTCGGTATTATTAAATATGAATTCATTTGACAGATTTTAGGGGTGAGGTATTCATTTAAACTTTCATTGCACCCTTATTTAATAGTTTCTGCTTTATTTAAATATTAGCTTTTGTGTTAAATATGATGGATATGAATTTAATAAGTTCAATTTTCTATAATGAAGAGATCAGAACTTTCTGCTATATTGGGCAAAATATGTTTTAAACATTTATTGATCATAGTAAATATTAATAAATAGGAATGTAACTTTAAATTTTAATGTTTATGAATGTTGAACAACTTTGGAAAAATAAATGTTTTTGACTTGCGCGCACACATGTAGTGAGTGTTATTTTTTTTCTTTAACAAAATAGATCTTTTGGGCTGGTGATGTGACTCAGTGGTTTAGTGCTTGCCTAGCATGCACAGGCCCTAGAATCAATAGCCACCACTGGAAAAAATAGAACTTTTAAAGACAGCCACTTTTAGAAATGCTATTTTGTTATTAGAGCCAATTAATGTTTATGATATTTGATTTTACTTAAACTTCATTGCTAATTCAACATAAAATAAACACTAATTTTTTTTTCTTTAAGATAATAGTTTATTAAGAAAGGGAGTGCTAGTAAGTTGAAAGAAAGTATGCTCCAAGAGCATTATTTCTTTTAGAAATTGAAAACTATTGGTTAATACTGGTATGTAAGCACTGAGTATTTAAAAAGAGTGCATGTTGGAGCTGAGGATGTAGCTCAGTTGGTAGAGTGCTTGCCTAGCATGCATAAAGCTCTGGCTTTGATACCTAGCACTCCATAAACTGGGTATCATGGTGCATACTGTAATCACAGACTTGGGAAATAGAGGCAGAAAAAACAGAAATTCAAAGTCATCCTCAGCTATATGAACAATTTGAGGCCCCAGGGTTAAATGAGAGCCTGTCTCAAATACCACATAAGTTTAAAGTTAGATACATGTATAATCCAAAAACTGTTGTTTTCCCCTCCTTTTCATTGAACCCTGGTGCTTCTTCCTATTTCAAGGAAAACACTGATAATAAATATTGTATAAGGGACTAGAGAGACAGCTCAGTAGTTAAGAACACTGGGTGCTCTTTCAGAAGACCCTGGTTCAATTCCCAGCACCTACGTGGCAACTTACAACTGTCCATAACTCTAGTTTCAAGGGAATCCAACACCTTCTTCTGACCCCCCAAGGGCATTACATGATATGAGTGTACTTACGTGCATGCAGGCAATACACTCATACACATAAAATAAAAATGATAAAATATATTGTATAAGAAGCTTTCACTTAATTTGTTTTCCTTAATTCATCAGGCTTTGGAGGCAGGTGCCTTTATCAGCTGAAAGGACATTCTAGAGGTTGGAGAGATGGCTCAGTGGTTAAGAGCACCACATGGTGTTCTTGAAGAGGACTGGAGTTCAGTCAGATGGCTCACAACTGCCTGTAACTCCAGCTCTAGGGGATCCAATGCCTCTGTCCTCCATAGGCACCTACATTCAAATGCACATCCCCAAACATATACAGACACACAAACACACATAATTTAAAATAGTAAAAATAAATAAATCTTTTTTTAAAAAAAAAGGACATTCTAATTGAGCAGAACTAAAGTGAATAACTTGTCAGTCTGCTTCTCTTCTCCCTCTTCTCTCTTTTCTTCCTCCTATTTTCCCCCTCCTCTCCCTCCCTCCCTTTCTCACCCTTCTCTCTCTCTCTCTCTCTCTCTCTCTCTCTCTCTCTCTCTCTCTCTCTCTCTCTATATATGTCTCTCTGTAGCTTTCTCAGTTTGTCTGTCTCTCTGCATCTGTTTGTTTGTTTTGAGACAGAGTCTGACACTGTAGCACAGGCTGGCCTTGAACTCAGTGTAGTCCAAGCTGACCTTGAACTCAAGTAAATATTTCTGCTTAGATAGACTTGGGCCACTGCCTGACTCCAATTTTTTCTTTTCTTTTTCTTTTTTTTTGGGGGGGGTCTTTTTGAGACAGGGTCTCCCTGTAGCCCCAGCTGTCCTGGAACTCACTATGTACACCAGGCCTTGAACTCACAGGGATCCACCTGCCTCTGCCTCCCGAGTGCTGGGATTAAAGGCATGTGCCACCTTGCCCAGCCAGCTTGATTCTTTTTTTAAAAAAAATCACAGAAGTTAAGGAACAGAGCTAGGCCAAAAGTTCTTTAAAAGTTTTAAAATTTATTGCATTTGGTAGATAATTTTTTTAAATGTTGGACACATTCTTTTTATTCTAAGATCTCCAAAAGATTAATTGATTTGCTAATATGCTGCCTTTTTCTTTCTTTTAAAGCTGTTTGGTGTGTTTTGGGCTGCCTACAGTGCTGCTTCATTATTAGTGGGTGAAGAATTCAAGACCAAAAAGCCTCTCCTCATTTATCCAATCTTTTTATTATACATTTATTTTTTGTCCTTGTATACTGGGGTGTGATCAAGTTGTACATGAGTAGAAAAAAATGTTACATTTGTTTGTAAGCTGAGAATTCTTGCTGAAGGGATCAGAGAAAACGTTGCTGGTAAAATGTTATACATTCCAGATAGAACGGCAGGTTCAAGGTCTTTATAAAACAATATTTTTTGTATTTAAGTAATTGCAGTTATCTGGGATTTTTTGGTCAGAATTCTAAATTCTGTTTGGTTCTTCATATTCCAGTGAATAAAATAAAAAGCATTGTGTTTTTAAGATTGTGTCAATATTCACCTGAAAACCTGTGCCAAAAGCACCTAGCTGGGTAATTATTTCTCATTGAAGTATAAATTTGACAACATCCTGATAATCTAAAAGTGCAATTTTTTTCTTAAATTTTCTCCTGCACCACAGATCCTGTAGATATATATTTATATTTATACATATATATTTATGAAATAATTCTTATTCACAAAATATATTTCTGAAAAGCCTAAAAATTAAGATATTAAGCCTGATGCTTAAACTTTTTTTCATTTAGCCATAAATCTTTTTTTTTTAATTTTGAACCTAAATTTTGGTTTTTAAATTGTATGTAATTTTAAAAATAATGGTTGCTGATGTAGATTTGGTTTGCGGGTATGTGATCTTAAAAAACATTTTTGAGTGTCTGAACATCTGATTTAAAGTTTCTGTCTCTCTTTTTAACTAAAGGAGCAAGAGGTATAATGGATATAGCATTAATTGAAATCATCAATACAGGAAAAAGTATTTATAGCATCAGTAAATATTTTTTAAGTGGTACCTATAAATCAGAAAAGTCATGGGAAAGAGACCTTTAAAATCTTATGGTCCTGAACAATGTTTTATGAAGTAGAAAATAAAATGTTTTCCAGCTGTGTGCTTTGTTTTACAACACCTTGTCCTGTATTATTTGATATTTTAACAGGTATTAGTTTCTCTCCAAGTTTACAATTTTTTGCTAAGGGAAATATTGAAAAAATTTTATTAATGAAATTTTTATAAATCATAGATTCTATATGTACTTTTATTACTTTGTAAAGTAGATAAACTATTTTATCTATGTTCATAAAATAGCAAATCCCTATTAGCAATTATTGTATTATTGTTTCTGATCTTGGCCAGAAAAGTTAACTGCTCTTTTCCACCTGGTGGAACGTCATCATCCCTTGGTATGTGTTTCTTAGGCAGAACAGGTTTAGGAAAACAGGTAAAAGCAGCAGATAGAGAAAACACAGAATTTAAGTAGGATGAAGTAGCAAAGAAGGATCTGTGGCTCAGAAGCAGCAAGTATAAGTTAGCATCTATGTCAGAGATTCCTGAGGTCAAGCCCTTGTTATTATGACTTCAGGGTTTTGTTTGTTCATTTTTATGGTACAGCAACTCAAATGTAGGAGGCTGACAAATGCTGTACCACTTAAACTACACTCTCACCTATCAGGTATATCCACCCTGAAGACCATGAGCTGCACACAGCTGAAGATAGCTATGAATGCAGCCCAATGTGAAAGCGTACTTAAAACATTTTGGAATTTCTGCCCCCAACCTCCCCTCCCCGAAATTCCCAAATATGAACTTTGTAGCTGACATCATTGCTTTGTAGTATGCAAAGGTTTGACATACCTGGTTGACGTTCATAGTGCTGACCCTGAAAATTAAGATTTGAAGTCAGGACCAAATTTTAGAACCTTTTTTTAATAAGTTTTTTCATTTTTAAAAATTTTTATATTCATTTATTTTTTGTCTTTTTGAAACAGGGTCTCACTATAACCCCTGGCCTGGAACTCACTATGTAGACTAGGGTGGCCTTGAACTCAAAGAGATGGCACCTGCCTCTGCTTCCCAAGTGCTGAGACTAAAGGCATGCACCACCAAGCTGGACTTAGAGTCTTTTTTGAAAAAACAAATTTTTTAAGCCAGGTGTGGCGGTCCCAGCACTTAGGAGGCAAACACAGGCAGATCTCTGAGTTCAAGGCCATCCTGGTCTACATAGTGAGTTCCAGGCAAGCTGGGGCTACAGAGAGACCCTGTTTCAAAAAGACAAAATTTTTTGTGTATGAGTATAATGCCAGCATGTATGTAAGTGCACCCATGTAATTCAATGACCACAGAAGTCAAAAGAGAACTTTGAATTCTCTTGGAACTGGAGTTATGGACAGTTGTTAGCCACCATGTAAGTTCTGGGAATTGAACCCAGGTCCTCTGTAAGAGCAGTCAGTGCTCTTAACTGTAGAGCCATCTCTCCAGCCCCCAAAACTTTAGAATCTAACCAAGTGCTGTGTCAGAGTATTTTAGGGATACCTCATTCAAAAATGCTTTGAGTTAGCTGAGTGTGGTGGCTCACACCTCTATATCAGAGTCCTAAGTACTGGAATTAAAGTACTTTAATTTGTTTGTTTCTTTTGTCTTTTGAGACAGGATCTCCATGTAGCCCTAGCTGACCTGGAGCTCAATATGTAGACCAGGTTGGCGTTGAACTCAGAGATCTGGTGCCTCTGCCCTGAGCACTGGGTTTAAAGGGGGTGCATTACCATGGCCAGCTTGATTTTTTTTTTTTTTTTTTTTTTTTTTTTTTTTAATCTGAACTTAAATTCCAGAGCAATATTTAAGAGAGATACAGTGTTTCAGCTCCTCCCAAGGACTTGCTTTTTACTGAGATATCCTTGTTAAGCACTGAATTTGTTACAAGAGGAAATAGAAAATTAGGTCAATCATATTTTTTTTCAAATATTTTATTTATTATTTTTATTTTATGTGTACGGGTGTATTGCCTACATGTATGTGAGTGCACCCGTGTCGTGCAATGCTGCAGAGGTTAGAAAAGGGTTTCGGATTCCCCTGGAACTGGATGCTGGAAATCGAACCCGGGTCCTCTGTAAGAGCAGTCAGTGCTCTTAACTGCTGAGCCATCTCTCCAGCCCCCAGCTTGATATTTTAATTTTTTTGATGCAATAAGAGTAAAATTCAACCTAAGAAAAACAATAAACAAGTTGAATATGTTAATGTGGCTATTTTTAAGTTTTTGTTGGTGGTATTTAAAAAAATTTTTATTATCTAATTATTTTGTGTGTATGCATGTATTGCCTGAATGTAGGTAAGTGCACTCGTGTTGTGCAATGCCCGTGTAGGTCAGAAGAAGCTGTTGGATCCCCTGGGACTGGAGTTAGGGGCAGTTGTTAGCTGCCATGTGGGTTCTGGGATTCGAACCCAGGTGTTCTGCAAGAACAACCAGTGTTCTTAACCACTGAGCCATCTCTCCAGCCCCTTTTTTTGGTCTTTTTTGAGACAGGATCTCCCTACAGCCCCAGCTGGCCTGGAACTCACTATGTAGATCAGGCTGACCTGGATCTCATAGAGATTTGCCTGCCTTTACCTCCCAAGTGCTGGGATTAAAGGCGTGCACTACCACTCCTGGCTGTTGATATTTTTAAGACAAGGTCTCTCTGTAGCCCCAGCTGGCCTGGAACTCACTATGTAGACTGGGCTGGCAACATGTTTTTTTTATTAATGTACATTTTAGCCAGTTTTTAGGCACTAGGTCATTGTAACACTTTTTTTAAAATGCTATTTTTAATTATGTGTATGAGTGCATTGCCTGCATGTATGTAAGTGCACTGGTGTCATCCAGTGCCCGTGGAGGTCAGAAGAGGGCTTCAGATCCCTTGGAACTGGAGTTATGGACAGTTTTTAGGTGCCATGTGGGTGTTGGGAACCAAACCCAGGCCCTCTGCAAGAGTAGCCAGTGCTCTTTAAGCTGAACCATCTCTCCAGCCCCCAACATTTTCATTTTAAAAATAATATCTAGCTGGTCATGGTAGCATCCCAGCACTCAGGAGGCAGCAGCAGGTGGATCTTGGTGAGACTGATGCCAGCCTGGTCTATATAGTGAGTTCCAGGCCAGCTGTGGTTAACAGGGAGATCTTGTCTCAAAAAGACAAATAAGTAAATAAAATATCCAAATTCTAAGGCCTGAAAATGTCACTCATTGATAGTCTAGCATACAAAATGTCCTAGATGCAGTTCCTAGCAGTGCAAAAAGAATATGATGGGAAGAGAGGACATAGATGGTCCAGTATCTTTGTGTGTGTGTTTGTGTGTGTGTGTGTGTGTGTGTGTGTGTGTGTGTGTCTGTCTGTCTGTGAGGGTCAGAGGACAACTCAGGAGATAGACGCGCTCTCTCCCTCCACCTTTTAAGATCTAGAGATAAAACTCAGGTTGTTAAGCCTGAGCATAATCACCTCTATCCACAGAGCCATCTTGGCAGCCCCCAATTTCTTAATTCCATACAATTTTTCAAGATTGTGTGGCATGGCAGTCTGAAACAAGTATTAATTGAACTAGAGACTGGGAAATGGCTCAGTGCACTTGCCATACATGCATGACAACTCAAGTTATATGCCCAAGACCCATGTAAAAAGCCAAATGCAGTGTCACACATCTATAATCCAGCACTTTTATGGTTAGATGGGGGTCAGAGATAGGATTGGCCAGAGGCTCGCAGATTAGCTAGCCTGCAGTGTACAGCAGAAATGAGACCCTGCCTCAAGAAAAACAAGGTGGAGGGGCTGGAAAAATGGCTTAGTTATTTAAGAACATTTGTTCTTGCAGAGGACCTGGGTTCAGTTCCCAGCACCTATGTGGCAGCTAACAACTGTCAGTAACTCCAGTTCCAGGGGATCTCACCCCCTATTCTGGCTTCTATGGTCATTGCACTCACATGGTGCAACCACATACATGCAGGCAAAACATTCATACACATAAAATAAAAATTGGGTCTGGAGAGATGGCTCAGCGGTTAAGAACACTGGTTGTTCTTGCAGAAGACCCGGGTTCGAATCCAGCACCCACATGACAGCTAACAACTGTCCATAACTCCAGTCCCAGGGGATCTGACAGCCTCTTCTGACCTCCATGGGCATTGCACGACACAGGTGCACTTACCTACATGCAGGAAATACATGCATACATGTAAAATAAAAATAAATTTAAAAACTTAAAAAGAGAGTTTAGGGCAAGCCTGGCTTACATGAAAAAAGCTGGGCATGGTAGCACACACCTCTAAATCCAGCACAAGGAGGGCAAATGCAGATGGATCTTGGTGAGACTGAGGCCAGCCTGGTCTATATAGCAAGTTCCAGGCTAGCTGGGGCTACAGGGAGCTCCTGTCTCCAAAAATCAAATTTAAAAAGTTGGAAGAACTGACTCTAAAAATTATCCACTGAACTCCACATGCATATGTTCTCCACACAAATATATAATTTTTAAAAAGTATTAATAGGGCCAGGTGTGCTGGCACACGCCTTTAATCCCAGCACTCAGGAGGCAGGGGCAGGCGGATCCCTGTGAGTTCAGGGACAGCCTGGTCTATATAGTGAGTTCCAGGATAGCTGGGGCTGCAGGGAGACCCTGTCTCAAAAAGACCAAAAAAAAAAGTATTAATAGGGAGTGGAGAAATGGCTAGGAGTGCTTGCTGCTCTGCTATAGGATAAGAATTTGGTTCCCAGCACCCATCTCTTTCTGGCCCCAAACTGCCTGTAACTGTAGTTCTACTGGACCTGGAATCTTCCCAAGGCCTCCAAGGATGCTCATACATAGTATACAGACAAACAAACAAACAAACAAACAAACTATATATATATATATATATATATATGACTTTTTGAGACAGGGTCTCCCTGTAGCCCCAGCTGTCCTGGATTCACTATGGAGACCAGGCTGGCCTTGAACTCACAGAGATCCGACTACCTCTGCCTTCCAAGTGCTGGGATTAAAGGCGTTCCCCACCACGCCCGGCAAACAAAAATAATCAAAAAAAAAAAAAAAGATTGGGTCTGGAGAGATGGCTCAACAGTTGAGAGCACTGACTGCTCTTGCAGAGGACCTGGGTTTGATTCC